AAATTAACCTGATCAATATATAACACACATGAAAAGGGAAAATAACACATTGAGTACAAATAAAAAAGGGGAAATAGCATGTTTGGTCCTCGTAGGTGACCAAAATATAAAAGGTGCTAAACCTAGGGGGACCTAAACGCGATTACCCCTTAACTTTCCCTATAAAACACATTTCTTCCTTTTGTTTTCATTTCAAACCCATTCCAGATTTTTTTTAAACTCTCTCTTTTTTCTTCTCTCTCTCGGTCGACAGAGACTTTTCGACTACCCCTTAAATGCTCCGATCTACCTGCCAAAAAACTCTTCGACTACCCCTTCTCAGGTAAACTACTCGATCTTCCCTCTCTCTTTTTTTACTGTTTTTTGTTTCGATACTGGTAAAAAAAAGAAAAAGGCAGAGACTATTATTTTTTTACCTTCGAAATTTTTCTTTGTATTGATCTTCCGAAATAAAAGGGATCCCCCCTTTTTACATATGGTTTTCGGGTTTTATACCCAGTATCTTACAGTGACAAAAATAAAAAAATAAAAACCTAATTTGCATTCTGACATGGTTGTTGATGACGGGTATGGCAGAGAATGGTCTCCTAATTAGGTAGGTAAGGCCATTTAATGCCTTAACCTTCCCTTGATTTTTTGGTTGTATTTGCCACTATTGTATCTGATTTTTTTTTGTGAGAAATGATCACTTGGTTGTTTGTTTCTTGGTAGGGGTTGTCACGGTGGCCGGAGCAACTGTCAGTGGCGGCAGAGAAGATCCTAGTTAGCAGCGGCAGTGGGAACCCTAGTGTTTAGAAACCCTAACTGCTTTGGGTTAAGTATCGGGCTAGGTTTGGCCCACTGGGTCACTTGGCTTGTTTGGGCCTACTGTGTTTCAGTTTGGGTCGGATGGCTCCTTGTAATTGGGCCCAATTATGAGCTTGTAATTTAGCCTGCAAAATAAAAATAATATAAATATAATTTAAAAATAAATAATAATATATATAAAAATCCGGACAAAACGAATGTCTACAGAAGAGTATTTTTTATTGAATTGAATCGAATTAATGAAAATCTGACCAAACCTGATCATATCTATCCCTAATTAAGTCTCCCCCTCATACCCTTATTTCAAACCTTTTCCATTAGGGTTAAATGTTCAAGCTTTGAGCAATCATTTAGAAAAAGGTTTAATATTTCAATATTTCCAAAAAGAGTCTAGTGTTATTTAATATATTTATATAATTAATTAATCTTTTAAAATAACTGAATACATATTTAATTAATGACGTAGTTATAGTAAAAAATTAATTTTATTGAAGTTTGATGGATAGAAATATAAAATGTTATTTATAAAAATTTCTCCTTACTCTTCGTATGAAATGGTCCAAAATGTTAAGTTCTTACTTAAACATAATCAAAATGATTAAACAATTATTCAATTATTTTAAAGGGTAAACTACATATTTAGTACTAAACTATTACTTTTGTTTTGTTTTAGTATCTAAACTTTATTTTTTTTAAATCATACTTAATGTTTAGTATGATATCTTATTGTTAAAAAATTAACATAATTGATGATGTGATATTTTTTAATGATGACATGACATTATCTTATGGTAATTAGTCAACAAAACTATTAAGTTTTTAACTACAGATACCAAAATGAAACATAAACTAAAAGTTAGGTATGATTTTGAAATAAAATAAAGTTTGGATACTAAAATAGAATAAAAGTGATAATTTAGATACTAAATATGTAGTTTATCCTATTTTAAAATATTAGACTTTTGTTTAAGTAAAGTTGAATACATATTCTTTGATTGAATAACAACAAAGAGGGGAAAAGAGAAGATAAAGGAATTTGGGGCTTGATTTTTGTTTCAACACCATACACTCGTGAAAGGATAAGAATTTTTTTATTTTTGATTATGACTTTTCAAGTTGACACCAAAGCTTTATTCACTATCCTTTCTTTCTTTTTTAGGTATAATATCAAAATTAGTTTCTCAACGTTTATCAAAATGATCATTTTACCCCCTATTCTATTTTTTGGAGTATTTTGACTCCCAACATTTCATTTTACGTAAACAATGCTCCTAAAATTTAACTGAATAATCACTTTGTCCCTTATATTTTTACTGGGACATTTTAGCCATCAATGTTTCATTTTAGGTTAAAAAGTACTTCTATTTTAGAGTGTTAATCGTGTGTTAACTAATGATTTTGATCTATAGAGAGAGTTTTTTACCCCAAAGTAAAACGTTGGGGGGACCAAAATGTTCCTAAAAAAGAATAAAGTGGTAAAATGACCATTTTAGTAAATGGTGGGGGATATTTTTGGCATTATCCTTTTTTTTACTCCGGGATAAGTACAAAGTAGTATATGTTTAAAGATAACTCTCAACCATTTGATATTGAACGCTTATATCCTTAACATTCTTGGTGCTCGAACGAATTCAAAAAATAGTAATAATTCATTTACCACATAGTTATCTTAGTTTGTGCATTCACTATCCTTGCAGTAGCCGCTGTTCGGTCACCTTTAATTATGGAAGAAAAGTTTACGATTGAAACATATGGCAATTAATGCATCAGCGTGGGAAGTTTCTTTGAGGACTTGCTGTAGAGTGGAAGTCAATCGTTCTGTCCATTGGGTAGCTCGAGAAAGTAGTATATGTTTAAAGATAACTCTCAACCATTTGATATTGAACGCTTATACCCTTAACATTCTTGGTGCTCGAACGAATTCAAAAAATAGTAATAATTCATTTACCACATAGTTATCTTAGTTTGTGCATTCACTATCCTTGCAGTAGCCGCTGTTCGGTCACCTTTAATTATGGAAGAAAAGTTTACGATTGAAACATATGGCAATTAATGCATCAGCGTGGGAAGTTTCTTTGAGGACTTGCTGTAGAGTGGAAGTCAATCGTTCTGTCCATTGGGTAGCTCCGCCTGTTGGTTGGACGAAATTAAACACGGATAGCGTGCGACAGCCTACGGCAGACCTAGCTGCTTGTAGAGGTATCATTCGCGACCAACATGAGGAATTGATATCGGGTTTTACAAACCCGATCGGGTGTTGTTCGGTCCTTGAAGCGGAATTGTGGGGTATTTATGTGTTATTAAGCATGTGCGGGAGATGAATCTATAAAGAATTGTGGTGGAAGCTGATAGTAAAATGAAATTGTTTATACTTGAACGAAGAACGAGACTAGGGAGATTTCAACAATAGTGTCACATATTCTTGATCTCATATAACGAGAATAGAGCTTATAGTTCTGATATGTGCCACGAGAATGCAATAAGATGGCTGATGGATTAATTAGTCTAACATGGTATGCACTCCTTGAAGATGCACGAGCTGTTGCTCCTATGACTTAAATCTTAGCATTTTTCTCTTCTGTAATAAAAAGAATTGGAGTTAGAATTAATAGTAATTGCCGAAGATTTTATTAAAATCGTATGAAATTTGAGGATTTTATTGTCAAATTTAAGTTTGAAAAAGTCAACGTATTCTCAAAATAGTAAATATCAAATTGTAAAAAAATTATTATTATTTAGAGTTGCATTATATGTCCTCAAAGAATTACCCTCATGTTAAATGGTCCCTAAACTTTTGAATATTCTAATTTCATCCTTAAACTATGACTAAAATTGCTGACCCTATTCCCATGTATAATGGGATAAGGGGGAGGTATGATAGTATGCTGCCCCCAACGCCAGGTTGAGAGCAGCTTCCGTGGGAGATCTCCGGCAGTCAGAATTATGAATTGCCCACCGTGAGACTCGATCCCACGACCACAAGGTTAAGAGCCTTGCGCTCTACCAACTTTTGGACATTTCAATTTCATTTCCAAACTATGACATTCATTCTAAATTAGTCCCTAAACTTTTTGAACATTCCAATTTCATCCCAAACTATATATGTATATACTAATCACATCCCTCGTCAATAAAAGCATTAGGCAAAGTTATATTATTATATGCTTGGGAAAAAAACAAAATTTATGTTAAACTATGGTTGAAATTAATTACATATTTGGATGAATTTGGGGATGAAATTGGAATAATCAAAAGTTTGGGGATTAATTTAGAAAGAGGGTTATATTTTAGGGATACAATTAGAATGTTCAAAAGTTTAAGGACTAATTTAGAATGGGAGTTATAGTTTTAGGATGAAATTGGAATGTTCAAAAGTTTAGGGACCAATTTAAAATGAGGGTCATAGTGTAGGGACATATGATACAATTAACTCTATTATTTAGGATAAAATATACAATTGTATCCCTCAATTATATGGTGTTGTTTTGTTGAATATCTCGATTATTAAAAGTTATAAAATGATTCACTAACTAAAATGTATTGATTTGTTGAGTCATCGACTATTAAAAGTTACAAGATGGTCTTCCGACCATTCATAAGTTCTAAACTCATTATTTTCAGTTAAAATTTTGATGATTCTCTGAATTGGACGTTAATATGTTAACCAAGATATGATAAAATCATATTTTAATGATGTCTATTGACACCGTCGTTGCTTTCAAGCACTAACTCAACAACATAATGTTTTAAACACTGACCCAATGACATAATATAAATAGAGACTCGATCCATAAAATACAGCTCAAACGATATTGAAATTGGATTTATCATATCCCAATAAGCATGTTAATATTTAGCTCAGACGATTATCAATTTTATAATCAAATGACTATTTTATAACTTTCAATAATTGAATAACTAAAAAAATACCATATAATCAATCAACCATTTGTACACTTCCTATTATTTAACTATCAAAATTAATCAAATAATTTAATTGTTATGCCCCCAAACCACAACCCTATCTAGAGAAACGAAATCCAGATAACAACACAATCTACTTCTCCACCCAATCATCTTCTTCCACGTGTAAACAAAGTGCCACCCCAATCAGCTGATTCCCACCCCCACTGTAATTTTCCGACATTAAAGCCCTTTCCCTTCCTAGTAGTATCCCCAGTGTCTTTTCCTTCTTCAAAGATCCCTTCTTTCTTATTTTCCTTCCATTATTTTCGCCGTCCAAACACAAATATGTGCAACAAAAACAACAGTACCAGACGAAGTAATAGAAAACCGAAAGCTCGTAGTTTTTCTTTGGAACATTCTCGTAAAACCCGAAGTAAAACAAGGAGACCGAAGTACCTTAGCCTTCATCGCCTTGAAGAAAACCTACCTCAGATGTCGGTAGCCGCCGGAAACAACGAAGAAGACGAAAACAACAAAGAAGTTACAGACAAACAGCTTAATCTTTTCCCACTTCACCCCGAGAATTTGGTTGAAGACAGAGACGCACAGTACGATAATGTTTCTATGCTTTTCAACTCGACGGAGGAAGACGGCGGTCATGCCGTTACACTGAACGGTCTCTTGGACAGCGAAGGAAGTGAAAATTATAAGAATCAAACAGCGACGACGACGGTGACGTCGGATGAGAGCCCCTTGTCGCCTTCTTTAACGTACGGGTGTTACGGTTGCGATGATCGTACGAAGTTGTCGCTTGTACGGACGGCTATGAAAGGTAAGAAGGAGAGGGATGAGAGTGAGGAGAGGTGGGTGGTTTATTCTGAGGTGGTGGAGAAGAAGGAGATGGAAGAGGTGAGTAGCGGTGGAGACGGTGGCTGTGACGACGGTGCATGGTGGAGTAGGAGGAAGACGAAAAAGTTGTTGGCTTTGAAGCTTGATTACGAGGAGATCATGAATGCCTGGTCTGATAAGGGCACCCTTTACATTGAAGGGGAGTCCCCTCAAACTGTCCCTCACTTGCATGCCAATGTAAGATCTTAGCCCCTAATCAATAATTTCCTTATATTAATTTTACTTACAATAAAGTTATTTTTTATCACTTTGGAGATATAATAATTAATTAATTCTTTTACTATTTTAATGAAAAAGGATTAATTTTATTCTTAAATATGTGTATGAAATCATCAATAACTAAATGATTTAGTGCAATGAGTTATTATTATTATTTTTTTGTTAAAGAGTTAAATTATTGTACCATGAGCGGAACAAATTGGATTGTGGATTTTTTTTATAATATAAATTTTTCTAATACTCTATTCAAATTAATTAACGTGCTGAAAAGTATGCTTTTGCACTTTTTGCATTCTTTTCATGAGACCCAATGGACCTTTTAAGCCAGCTTGAATTTTGGCCCACCTTAGTACCATTTTGTTGGTTGGTTTATATTAAATGTATTATATTATAATGTTTTTAGTTACCCTTTATAGCTTATCAATATTTATAATGATTGATTTTGATGAAATTAGATTAATTATACAGTTCCACATTTGTAATGATTGATTCTGATTGTAACTACTTATTTTAGTTAAAAGTTGTAATCTTAAGGAAGAAAAATGTTGTTAAGACTCAAGTGAATTGCAAGTGTTCGACTCGAATATGAAATCGAATATCCGTGATTGTGGCAGATTCTATACGGCGGTTCGGGAAGTGCTTCGAATGTGTGGAAGGTGCCAGAAATGACGAGTGGTTTGAAGATTAAGGAAGAAGAAGATGGAAAAGAAGACTGGAAAAAGGGGCATAGAGAAGCAAGTGTGTTGAGATACAAAGAAAAGAGGCAAAATAGGCTTTTCGCTAAGCGAATTCGGTATGAAGTCCGAAAACTCAATGCCGAAAAGCGCCCAAGGTTGAAGGTACATTAACCTTGATCTGTTTTACGATGTTCAAATTCAAAATTTAATCTTTAATTCGATATAATTTGATTATTCGAACTAGTATCCGTATTTAGTCGAGACTAACACATTTTTATCGGGGGGGGGGGGGGGTTGTAGGGTCGATTTGTGAAGAGAGATTGAGTTTGAAGAGATGAAGTCGATTTTTGAAATAATGGCGGTTTTGAATCGATGAAAATACTCTTTATTATATTATAATATCAGTGAGGTATAGTTTATATATCTGATACTTGTAAATATGAAGAGTACTGTCATTTGGAGCCCCATCAGCTACCTTTGTTTCCCTAATTTTCTTTTTTTTTTTCTAATCACAGACTATTCCAGATCAAGTTTTACTTTAATAAATGATTAAAATTATGTATATGGTTCACGCGAATCTCGAAACGCGATCATATTTTGCAAAGAATGATTGACATATGCTCGGCAATTAAGCATAACTTTGAGGAGTGTATGAAGGTCTGTATTGTGCAGGGAAGAGAGGCGAAGGCCGAGTTATAGTTGAATTTGATAACTCGGAAGTGGTACGAGCGTTTCGGAAAGGAACATTATGGGTGAAGCCATTCATGATTGTTCATCACATTCGGTTGATGTTGAGACGACGATAGAAAGTAAACTTCACACATATATTTCGCGAATGGAATAATAAAGTTGCGGATGATACGACTAAAACGACATGAAATCTCTCATGGGACTGCCATTAGCATTGCACTAAGGAATAAGTAGGTATAGGTATTGATAGGGTCGAATTGAGCTTTTAATCGAATCGAACATGATTTGAGTACGTTATCATTTTAGTTGTCACTCAATTCAACTTGAAGTTAAGAAGATTTGACCTGATTTAAATTCGACCTATTTTTTAAGTGATAATCTGCATCTGATATAATACGACACACATATAAATATATGTTTATTAGATAAAATAAAAATATAATTGAAAAATATAGAAAAAAAAGAATGTTATTATAATTAATCTCTAAATATATAAGATATAATTCTATTATTTTTTTGAATCATACCGAATGTTTTTTACCTGAAATATAAATTGATCACTATATAAACAAATGTTTTTTCTAATATTTAAATTTATAAAATTAAACTGAATCAAAATCCATCAGCTTCGTACCCATATGTCCATCCCTAATAATAAAGTAACCTCTCCTTTAGATTAATTAAATATCTACGATCGTAAGTAGGGTAATTGGGTTGTGATAACTGTTCTTGATTATTCTTTTTCTTGATTATTCAACAACCCTATCAACCGTCCTTAATCAATCAACTGATTATTCTTAAATGGACATATGTCCATTAGATTCTTGATTATTCTCTTTCTTGATTATTCAACAACCCAATAAACCGTCCTTATTGTTAATTAATTAAGAAAAATAATAATCAAGAATCAATTAGTCTAATGAAATAACACATTAGATTTTTTTTGGCATAAAATCAAAGATTTAAATATTTACGATCGTAAGTAGGGTAATTGGGTTGTGATAACTGTTCTTACAATAAACTTCTGTAAAATTTAATATAAATTAATCAATCAACTGATGAAATATCAATAATTAATTCAAAAAATTAAGAAAAAGAAGGAGAAAGTAAAGAGCAAATTCCCCGAGGAATAAGTCAACCGTTGCATTAGAGAGCTTCAACAACCCAACCAACCATCATTGATATTTTACACAAATCATTGCCTCCCACCTTATAAAAAAATTATTTTGTGAAAATAAAATATATAATCTTAAAATTAAAAGTTAATATGAATTAACGATTTAGTTGATAAAGAGATGATCGTGAATTCAAGTATAATATCTATAAGTAAGGGTGTTTAAAAATACTCGATCCATTGATGTGATCTAAAATTATTAGGTATTTATAGTGAAAATACCTGATTTTACGGGTCGGGTACCTGGCCAACTATTTTTTTGGATTTTCGGGTAGAAATATGCTTTAATCGGATACCCACGGACATGGTACCCGATTTCCTTTTATATTTTAGGGTAAACTATGTGAATAGTCCCCTGTGTTTTCGGTCTGGCCGACTTTGGTCACCAATTTAAAAATTAAGGGGAAATGATCCCTAACATTATTGATTCGTTCGATTTTAGTCCCTTATGTTATTGATCTATTTGATTTTAGTCTCTCAGCTGTTAACTCTCGCTCAATTTTAGTCCCTCAGCCATGTTAAGGACTTAAACAAAAAGGGTTAACAGAAATTAATAGCAGATGGACTTAAACCGGACGGACAAATAATATGAGGGATCATTTACCCTTAATTTTTTAATTGGTGACCAAAATTAGATAGACCCTAAACAAAAGGGACTATTCACATAGTTTACCCTTTATTTTATTTTAGGGTAAACTATAGAGTTTATCACTTTTGTTTCAGTTTTATAAACGTATGGTCATTGGATTCAAAAAATATAATTCATAGTCACTTGCATTTTATTTTAATTAAGATGTGGTCACTGAAACATTAACTTCTGTTAGTTTGATGATGTGATACAATAGTAAAAATGTTTAACTTTTAATTTAACCCCTGAGCTTTAAATAAAATACTAATAAGAGATCATTTATAAATTTAAAGTGATTTATAGACAACGTTAACTTTCATCTCGTAACCATTTTCACTCAGTGGACTGTCTTCTTCAAACTAGTCCTTATTTAAAGGTGGTACACCAACAACTCCGTCAAATTCATCATCTTCAAATTCTCCAGTTTCTCTAAGCAAGAGATGAAGGAGATGAGGTTCAGGATTTGAGTGGATTTTAAAGAAGAAAAGTATATTAAAAAAGGGTAAATTAGAACTTAATCCTTAAAATATTAAAAATTGTGTCTAATTAATATTTTATCTAAAGTTTAGATTAAAGTAAAAATTAAACCATTTTATTAATATGTAAGTCATCAAACTAACGAAATTTACAAAACGAAAATGACTACGAATTATTTTTTTTAAATTTAGTGACCATACGTTTATAAAACTAAAATTAAAATAACGAACTCTATAATTTACCCTTTATTTTATTTAATTTTTATATTATTTTACTAAAAAATTCCTTAACCTTGTCCAGTTGTCCCCAATTCCCAGTCGCAAATTGTAAATTTGTAATCCCTAGTCCCCTCTCGGACGATCTCTCTCGCCAGGCGATCACTCACTATTCCGGTGCTCCCATCTCGACCGGTCAGACGGTCACTCACTGCTCGATGCTCTCCTCGTTCCTCACCGTCACTCGTTAACAAACAGCCTAAGACCGAGAGCCCACCAACGCTGTTACCCCAGCCCCAAATACTTTCTCAGTTTCAACCATCGCCATTTTAAATCTTCATTCTTCAATTATTTAGTTATTTAGTTTCAACCCTGCCCCCTCTCTGTCCTTGGCGTGGTAGTCGATTTTCGTCGGATTTTAGAGGTAAAGCAGTTTATTAATGAATCTTGAAATACATAGATGATTATCAATGTTTGCTAATATCATTAGTTGTTAATGGTATCTGATAATAAACATTGGTTTTGGCATTTCAATTAGATCATAATAATCTTTGTTGGTCTGCTGTAATTTAATTGTTTCTTTAAGTGAATCAAGGGAAGAAACTTATTCTTCCAGTTGCAAGCCTTGTCAATATTTAAGTCTATAAAATCTATGGAAAAGATTAATTTAGACGCAAACTACACTAGATGAATTCTTGGGAAAGGAATCGGGTAACCTCTTACCCGAACTAGCGGCTACCAGGATATCATGGGCCGGGTTATGGGCCAACGTTTAGGTACCGAACATTCCGGGTACGTGGATTTGAATACCTTTATTTGTTCAAGTGTTTATTGTCAAATAATTAAATATCTTTTGAAAATATATTACTATTTTAAAATCACTCCATACTAATACTAATAAAAAAATCGAATCAAATCCTATACGCTCCTATTTAATCATTAATCATTGACTTCTGGATGCTCTTTTAGTCACTTTGATCAAAGTGTTTCTTTGTATGTCTGAATTCAGTTTCTGGTTTATTGCATCAGTTGTCTGGTTCATTGCATCTGCTCGGTTCGGCTCGAATTGATCATACCGAACAACTTTACCTGAGAAACATGGCAGCAGTGCGATTGATATCGACAAGTACAGTCCATGTTGCAGATAACAAGGCATCATGTGAGAGGATTGAGTTAAATCCATGGGATCTCCGGCACCTTCAAATAGGGTACATCCAAAAGGGATTTGTTTTCGCCATACCTATGCAAGACAAGTAGACGCTGATCCACTACTTGAGAGCCGTAGACGCTGATCCACTACTTGAGAGCCTCTCTCTCGGACGCCCTACACCATTTTCCGTTGGCGGGTCGCCTCGCAACAACCCGACATGAAGATGATGACACCGTTTCCTTTTTCGTAGACTGCAACGATGCCGGTGCTTTGTTTGTACACACTGCAGCCGATGGAGTAACCGTGGCCAACATTGTTAAGACTGTTTACGTCCCGTCTATTGTTCACTCGTGTTTCGTGCTGAACGGGATTAGTAACTACGAGGGTATCACCAACCCTTTACTAGGGATACAAGTAACTGATCTTGTGGATGGTATATTTCTTGGTTGCAGCATTAATCATGTCGTGGCGGATGGTACATCGTTTTGGCATTTCCTTAATTCGTGGTCCGAAATTTCTAGAGGTTCGATTAACTTATCGAAGCCCTATGTTTTCCAACCTTGGTTTCCCGATGGTGTGTCCGAAATTTCTAGAGGTTCGATTAACTTATCGAAGCCCTAACAATGCAATGAGGACTTTGTTCAACCGTCTACACTAGAAAAGATTTTCCATTTCTCAAAGGAAACTATTTCGAAACTCAAAGCGAAAGCGAACGCCGAGATAAGCACGAACACGATCTCGTCACTTCAAGCTCTATTGTCTCTGTTGAAAGTATTAAAATGGTTTTCAAGTTTGGTAAATGTTTCTTTGAAAATGGTTTTCAAAGTTTGGTAAATGTTTCTTTGAAAAATAGTTTTTCAAAGTTTGGTAGATGTTTGTTGAAAAATGATAATGGGATAATCACAATTAATCTCTAGGTTTTAGGGTATTTACAAGATTAAGTCCTTAAGTTTCAACTATAAATACCCTAACTCATTTAGCTTCAAAACCATCCCAAAAATCATTTCTTTCTCTCAATACTAGAGAGTTTTCTTGTGAGTAGTGAGTGCTTTGTAAACACCTGTAAATTTTATCTCTTAGTAAAAGATCTGCAGCAGTCCGGAGACGTAAGCACAATTGGCTGAACTCCGTTATCAATTTCAGGTATTATTTTTCCGCTTTTATTTTGCATTCTCACTAATCTGGTTATAGGGAAATTACTTGTATTTGGTTTATTTTCCAACAACTGGTATCAGAGCTTTTAGGTTGTGAATTTTATCAATTTTTTGTGAGGTTACTATTTGGGTTACTATTCACGTGAATAGTGAATTTCGTGAATAGTGAAATTCGGTCGGCGATACGAGTTTGTCGACGGAAGTGTTCTAATACACGGCGGTTCGCAAAAATTATCAGAAAACGATCTAAACGAATCCAGATTCGAGTGGAAGCGATGGCTGCAGACGAAGGGAATGTGAAAATTGAAAAGTTCGATGGTGCGGACTTTGGATTTTGGAAGATGCAAATTGAAGATTTTCTATACCAGAAAAATCTATATCAACCCCTCTCAGGAAAACACCAGAGGGCATGAAGAATGAAGACTGGGCTTCTCGACAGACAAGCCTCGGAGTTATCCGACTGACGTTATCCCGCAATGTTGCTTTCAACATAGCAAAGGAAAAGACCACGACGGGTCTTATGACGGCTCTCTCCAGTATGTATGAGAAGCCACCGGCCTCAAACAAAGTTCATTTGATGAGGCGATTATTTAATTTGCGGATGACGGAAGGGGCATCGGTGGCACAACACCTAAATGAACTCAACACAATCACAACCCAGTTGAGTTCAGTGGAAATTGAATTTGATGATGAAGTTCGAGCTTTAATTCTCTTATCATCTTAACCAGACAGCTGGAATGCTACTGTTACAGTAGTCAGCAGTTCGTCGGGAAACAACAAATTAAAATTCGACGATGTTCGGGATCTGGTACTGAGCGAAGAAATTCGACGAAGAGAATCGGGTGAAGCATCAACCTCCTCAGCCTTGCACACGGAGTCTAGAGGGAGAACTTCAGAAAGAAATTCAAATCGTGGCAGATCGAAATCCAGAAGGAGAAAATCAAGAACATGAAATAAAGATTTTACCTGTTATAATTGCGGCAAGAAGGACCACTTCAAAAGAGATTGCCGAGCACCAAAGAAAAATACCGACGCACAGGAATCTGCCAACATGACGGATGAGACAGGTGATGCTATGATTTTAAGCGTCAACAGTCTGATTGAATTATAGATTTTGGATTCAGGGGCATCTTTCCACTCCACGCCATGCCAAGAAATCATGGAGAACTATGTCAGTGGTGATTTTGGGAAGGTTCATCTTGCTGATGATGAAACATTGAAGATCGTCTGAAAAGGAGACATCCGACTAAAGCTGCCAAACCAGACCACCTGGAAACTGACAGGAGTGAGACATATTCCTGGTCTTAAAAGAAATTTGATTTCTGTAGGACAGCTTGATGGAGAAGGATACAGTACAACCTTTTCAGGTTGTGAATGGAAGATTACCAAAGGAGCAATCGTCATTGCTCGTGGTAAGAAGACTAGTACTCTCTATGTAACCTCAATTTAGAGAATATCTTGCAGTAGCAGATGCTGAGGAAAATCAAAACATGGCACCAAAGGCTTGGCCATATGAGCGAGAAAGGGATGAAGACACTTTTGTCAAATGAGAAGCTGCCGGATCTAAAGAATGTAGATATCGGACTATGCGAGGATTGTATCTTTGGCAAACAAAAGAAAGTCAGCTTTGCAAAGATTGGTAATACACCCAAGGCTGAAAAGTTAGAGTTAGTTCATACTGATGTATGGGGACTATCTCCAGTTCCATCTCTTGCAGGCTCATTATATTATGTCACCTTCATCGATGATTCTACAAGGAAGGTGTGGGTTTATTTTCTGAAGAAAAAATAAGAAGTCTTTGATACCTTCAGAAAATGGAAGGCCATGGTAGAAAATGAGAATGGTATGAAAGTCAAGCGGTTGAGGTCTGACAATGGAGGAGAGTACAGAAATAGGAGATTCAGAGATTTTTGCGCAAACAATGGGATCAAGATGGAGGCAACAGTTCCCATGATACCGCAGCAGAATGGCGTAGCAGAGCGCATAAACAGAACTCTAAATGAACGTGCCAGAAGTATGAGGATACATGCCGGATTGCCCAAATTTCTATGGGCTGAAGCTATTAACACTGCAGCTTACCTGATCAACCGTGGGCCCTCAGTTCCTTTGGATGACAGAATACCATAGGAAGTTTGTAGCAAGAAAGAAATAAACCTTTCACACTTAAGAGTGTTTGGTTGTATTTCTTATGTACACATAGACTCTGCTGAAAGAAGTAAACTTGATGCTAAGTCCAACAAATGTGCCTTTGTTGGTTACGGCGGTGATGAGTTCGGTTACCGGTTTTGGGACTATGAAAATCGGAAGATCATTAGAAGCAGAGATGTCATTTTCAATGAGAATGTGATGTATAAAGACAGGTTAACTGTAGAATCAAGCAGTTCCAATACCAAAGCTGAAACAAAAGAATTTGCTGAGTTTGAGGAGATTTCTGGAAATGATGTTCAGATCAGTCCTGAAGCAGTTCAAGAAGAACCAGGCACACCAGAACTAAGACGCTCCTCCAGAATTCCTAAACCAACCCAACAGTATTCTCCTTCATTGCACTACTTGTTAGTGACTGACAATGGTGAACCAGAGTGCTATGATGAAGCAATGCAAGTGGAGGATTCAGTCAAGTGGGAGTCTTCCATGAAAGATGAGATTTTGAAACTTGAAAAGATCAGTGGAGCTCAAAATCCGGCAGATATGTTGACAAAGACGGTGACTACAGACAAACTGAAGTTGTGTTCAACTTCAGTTGGCATGCTAGAGTAACAAGACTAGAAAAGCTGTTGCATTGATCGAGGTGTGAAGACAGATTAAAATCAGTCTTCAAGTGGGAGATTGTTGAAAGTATTAAAATGGTTTTCAAGTTTGGTAACCAACTTTGAAAAAATGGTTTTCAAAGTTTGATAAATGTTTCTTTGAAAATGATTTTCAAAGTTTGGTAAATGTTTCTTTGAAAAATAGTTTTTCAAAGTTTGGTAGATGTTTGTTGAAAAATGATAATAGGATAATCACAATTAATTCCTAGGTTTTAGGGTATTTACAAGATTAAGTCCTTAAGTTTCAACTATAAATACCCTAACTCATTTAGCTTCAAAACCATCCCAAAAATCATTTCTTTCTCCCAATACTAGAGAGTTTTCTTGTGAGTAGTGAGTGTTTTGTAAATACCTGTAAATTTTCTCTCTTAGTAAAAGATCTGCAGCAGTCCGGAGACGTAAGCACAATTGGCTGAACTCCGTTATCAATTTCGGGTATTATTTTTCCGCTTTTATTTTGCATTTTCACTAATCTGGTTATAGGAAAATTACTTGTACTTGGTTTATTTCCCAACAGTCTCATGTTTGGCGATCTATTATCCGAAACAGAAGCTTAGACCCTAATGAAGAGACCAAATTTCGCATCGTAGTTGGTGCTAGACAAAGGTTTCGGGAGCTTCCGGACAACTATTTCGGGAATGCAATTCTGGGGACATCTTTAACAATGAAACCAAAGGAGCTAATCGAACAAGGAATTGGCAACCCGGCATGGCGAATGAATAGAACAATTGCCGCGGTGACCGGAGAAAGCTTGAAAAAGTTCTTGGAATCTTGGCCAGCAAGGCCGAATTTCGTAAATATGAGCCATGGGAACGCTCACATCATGAGTAGTTCCCTTCGATTCGATATGTATGGTAATGATTTTGGATGGGGAAAGCCGGTTGCGGTACGAAGCGGGTCATCGAACAAGGTGAACGGAAAGCTGACATTATTTTGTGGAGCAGAAGCAGTAAGTATTGATGTTGAAGTGTGCCTTTTAGCAGAGACATTAGAGGCTATTGCAAATGATGATGAATTCATGGATACTGTCACCAATTAACCATTGGAATTGCTTCACCACCAAATCAACTGTTATTGTTGATCACATTTGTGTTCTTTTGTAACAATGTCGTGTTGTAAGATACAAATGTTCACATTTTGTGATGCTTTGGAAATGAAAATAAAGATCCTGTTACCTGAAATTTTGATGAATGTTCTAGCATGATGATGTGTACCAATATATAGATGTTTATTGTCATATTATTGAGAATCTTTCGAACATACATTACTTTCTATTAACCCAACATAATATATAGAATAATTGTTTTTAATTATTAAAAGAGTGTATTTTAAGTCTGTGAATTGATAAATTAATGGTGATGTCTTACCTAATATCCCAGGTTCAATTGTACTCACTAACCACCATTAGTCTACATTAGTCTAGTTAAAATATAAATTGATTTTGGTTAAGTTCAATTTATTTGGATTTAGAATCAAGTTTAAATCATCGTATTCTAATTCATACCGAATTCATTTCAAGAGAAATCAATCAACTTTGTTTATAATTTTACATGCAATAACAACACAGATTACATGAAGATGCAGCACAAACACACCAACATAGAACATGAAACACAGCATGAAAGATCACACTCAACCCTCGATCTGAATCATTTTCTTTGCCGGCTTCTTCACTTCTTGCTTGGGGACAGTCACAACCATCACCCCGTTCTCCATCGACGCCTTAACTCCGTCGGTCTTCGCATTCTCCGGCAACTCGAAGCTCCGACGAAACTTACCTCGACAACGTTCCATTCTATGCCACTTATCATTCTTATCATATTTTTCCTCTTTCCTTTCTCCATATATTTTAAGCACCCTCTCATCATCAACCTCAACATTCACTTCCTCCTTCTTGAGCCCTGGAAGATCAGATATAAACACGTGGGCTTCCGGGATTTCTTTCCAGTCCGTCGGAGTGTTCAGGACCGGACATCTGTTGACCATTGAAAGGAAGGGGTCGTAAATTTCATCACCAAGCAATTGAGACATGAAAGGCATTGTTTTCTTCTTGTTTTAATTTATGAAATGAAGGATATAGCTATGAGAAATGGGATGATCGTATATATATATATATATATATATATATATATACATATATATAGGATGAAAAAGGTGTGTCTTGAACATTCTTGGAACATCATGTATGTTTCTACTATGTTCTGTTGTTAATTAGAACTTGAACATTCCTTGTAATTGCCAATGATAGTGTCTGGTCTCTTGCTTTTTTCGAGCATCATCTGATGCAAGTTCGAGAAGTTTATGGATAAGATAATTACGTAAAAATGCATCATGGCCTGGATAAACAAACCTTCAATGTTCTCTTTAAGCCCATGGTCTCATCGTTCGGGCCAAAATTATATTATAAGGTAAAGAGTTATAAGGTAAAGAGTAATGAAGAAATTAATCGTTTAAATATTAGAGTACACAAATTATCTATGGACTATAGTATAATATTTTATTGAATCTCATCATTATTAAAAGTTATAAAGTAGTCCTTCGACTATAGGATGTTGCTTTGTTGAGTCCCTCGATTATTAAAAATTATAAAATGAACACCTGACTATTTATTATGTTCTGAATTCGTCTTTTTCCGTTAAAAAATCAATGATCTTATGAGATGGACGTTAATATACTGACTGAGATATGATAATCATTTGAGATTATTAATAGTAATATTTCAAAATTTGAACTAATGCATGATGAAATAGAATAATTCTCTTTTTTTTGTTGCCCTTCCGATTCCAAGGCCTCGCCTTGACTAATCCGGACTAACCCGTATCACACACTTGCTTTTGGTGGGTGGGTCTCCTAACATGTTTTTTTTGCATATATAAGGACTTGAACTAGAGATCTTACTTAAACGATATCAAACTGCTTACCTATTGAACCAATCCCTGTTAATTAGAATAATTCTTATTTAACGAGTAAACAAATCTAAAAATTATTAAATGAACAGTTAATACTGATCACACGCGACTAATCTCAATTATAAGAGAATTATGTGATGATTTAACGATTAATCATAATATCTTAGAATATTTATGAGTGTTTTAAAAAAATAACTAATGCTTTTCATATAAGATAATTAATTATTTACATTTATGTAAATAATTTTATCATGTCTAAAACAATATACATTACACGAATTACAGCTATGAATTCATTAAAACAATAATTTTCTCAAAGTAAATTTAATAAATTCATCGTGTCATTTTCAATAGGTCAATCGGAATTTATTAAGAGCAAAAATTCATCCTCATAAGGGTGCGTTTGGTTCACGGAATGTAAGATTACTAATGAGAATAAAAGATTACCAGGGAATAGGATTATTGGGAATGTTACATTACTATGTTTGGTTGGTTTGGCAGGAATGTAAGATTACATTATTTAGTTGAAGGAATAAAAGATTACTAGAATGTATATTTTACCAAATTGTCATTGTTTTATATTTTTTAACAAGTGTAATTCTAAATATTTAAATAAAAATTATTTATATAAAAATTCTATATGTTGATAATATATTACTTGAGTATTTAAATATATCATATATTATTTTTATTTTAATTAATATTAAATTTTACATAATTTATGTAAAAATATATTAAAATTTTACATCAACATTTAACTAAATGTTTACATTGTGGAAATTAGCTTCGGTTCATACGTGACACATTCACTAGGAGGTTTCTTGTATTTTTCAATTGACAAGATTTACATTCTTCTATATACAATAATTTATCATAGATATTAATAATAATAAAAAGTTATAAAAATATTTATTATATCTTCTATATACAATAATTTATTTATTTATCTTTTATATTTATACTTAATTCTACCTACTTTATCATTATTATTTATCTTATGAATTTATATTACGATCTTTACTGCAAAATCAAATCCTTTGCAAGCACATAAGGAGGCATTTCACCATCCATTACAAACTCAAAGTTGGTGGAACCCGCAATCGAATATTTATTATATCTTCTATATACAAACTTTATGACACCAAATCAGCTAATTTCATGTCTTTTAGGTTGACTACGGATTTGCATTATCGTCAGATCTGTTTAACCAATCCAATCCAACCTTGCAATAGGCTGCAGTGAAATATTGTTTCCCTCCTAATTACAATTGAAATATTGTTTGTTTGCATCAACTGTTTTGAATCGGACATAAAATGTTTCATCAAACTGAACAGAAGCTAATAAAACTTAGGGTCTGTTTGTTTTACTGAAAATATTTTCCAGTGTTTGGATGGTTCATTGTAAAATGTTTTACACTGTTTGAGTAATTTTCCTGAAAACTGTTTTCAGAATCTGTTTTTAATGAAGAAACTGTACATATTGAATATGTTTTATTATTTATTAATTTTTAAAGATTAATTTTTTATATATAATTATATTTTATAAAAATATATATTTTAGATAAATATTGGTTAAAAATATATTATAAAAGTTTATAAATTCTAAGAATGTTTAATTAATAGTACACCAAATCAATGGTCAAAAAACATTTCTCATAGAATAATCGATGAATGATAAGAATTTATTATAATGATCTGTCATGCTTTACAACATGTGTAAAATCCCAAAAGCTTCACCATGAATTCCTTTATGTTTCACATGTAAGCAATTGTTCAATCCAATACTGGGACTTGGAACTAAACTGGAACTTTCCAACTCCCATATGTCCTTAGATATCTGCAATTCAAACCTCAAGTCCTTAGATACCTCAACTTCTTGGCTAAGATCTTCAGTATGACGATCTTCTAGAATTACCCCTGCAATTCAAACCTCAAGTCCTTTTTAATGAATACCTTATTTCATGTGCTTTCCTCCGTTCTTGTATTCTTTACTATCATTCCTTGACTGTGTGATGTAAGGTTCCTTTTCAGCATCACTCATTGAATTCCATTTGGACCTCACATCTTTTTTCACCTAATATTAAACATAAACGTTTCTTACTCAATATTAACACTAAATACTAATATACTCAATGTCAATTTCATTTTACATACCGAACCGCTCTGTGTGCCATCTCCCTTCATCCTTTTGCATTCGGCCATACTGTTAACATTTAAAATTTGTAATCAATTTAAAGTTTATCGATACTTTAATCCAATTACCATTTCAACAATAATAACAAAAAGACATTGATACTTACTAGAAGTACATATACCCCTTGGTTGCTTTCGAGTTCGGCCTCAATTTCAAAGTCATCTGCTCCACCAACAATTTTCCAACCATTGACTCCATTTTCCTTCATATATCAGTTTACGCAAATCAAATTATTTTGTTACATACACTTTTCAATATACAAATATAGATAACTACTCTTGTGGTAAAACGATTTTCTTCAAAGAATTTGAATGGCCACACCAAAATGTGTCGGCACATTATACAACTATAATATCATTTTCTACCTATAATATTTAATAAAAGTATCGACATTTATCGTTTTCCTTGAATATCTATTTCTACCTGCAATCGGTCCCAAGCTTCCTTACTCCAAAACCCCAAACAACACATAAAAACCCTATCGCGATTACTGTAATAATAAAAATTAGGGTTTCGACAACATACTTTTCGATTCGACTGCCAGCACAAACAAACAAACTTCGCTTTAGAAACGCCTTCTGAAATGCAGCAGCAACAATTACTCTTCGATTTCAAAAATCGTCCGTTCTATCTATTTTCAGAGGATATTTAGCTTATATTTCATCGGATATGTTATTTATATTTAATCGATACAAATACAAAAGTGTCGATACTTTTATGTCAGGTGTCGATACTTTCGAAAGGATAATTACCTATTCTTTGAAAGTGTCGATAATTTATTACACGTACTTACGAAAAGTATCGACACTTTCAATATATCCGGTATCATTTTACCGTTTTTATCATTTTGATACCGGTTTTATCATATTTTACCTGTTATCGTTGTGGGATTATTTTTTTTTAAAGTATCGACACATTATAGGCGCTATAATGCTTCTCTTTTAAATTCACAAAGTGTCGATCCTTATATAACGTATCGACACTTTTAATTTTACCGGTTTATCATTTTGTTACCGGTTTTATCATATTTTTACCTGGTATATCGTTTGGATCGATATATTTCTTAAAAGTATCGACACTTTTTAGGATTTAAAACTGCTTTTAAAGTTATGTAATTTATGTTTCAATTTATTAATAGTGTTTATGTTTTCCACCTACAATATTAATTAATAATTTAATTTACACAAATTTTATTTGATTGTTTGATTTATAAAATATTATTAGAATTTAAATTTAACAATATTAACCAAATATAATAATAAAATATGTTTTCAACAGTGAAATAAGTATGGACACTTTTATAAAAATGATATATACTTTTTTGAAAGTATGTAATTTATGTTTCAATTTTTTAATAGTGTTCATTGTTTTCCACCTACAATATTAATTTAATAATTTCATTTACACAAAAATTATTTGATGTTTTGATATTTATAAAATATTATTTAGATTTTAAATTTAACAATATTAACTAAAGATAATAATAAATATATTTTCACAGTGAAATAAGTATGGACACTTTATAAAAAGGATAGATAATTTACAATATAACAGGTAAAAAATATGACAAAACCGATTCATTATGAAAACGGTAAAATTTACTTGATATGTTAAAAGTATGGACACTTTTTAAAAAGGATAGATACTTACCGATAACCAAAGTTTACCGGTTACCAATTTTTAATAGTTTTTCATATTTTCTACCTAAACATTATAGTTGTCAATAATAGGTACCGCTAAACGAATTATTAAATACATTTTAATGTATCCGGTAATACTGTATATTAGCCGTATATTAACCCGCCTTTCCTGAGACATTCCCAAACGCCCCCTAAATGTACAAAGTACATCATAGGAATAGTTAAATGTACAAAATGAATATTTTCATTATTTAATTTAAGATAAATTATAAATTTAGTACTTAAACTATTATTGTTGTTTGATTTTAGCATCTAAACTTTATCTTTTTTTAAAATCATACCTAATATTTAGTTTATGTTCATTTTAGTACTTAACCATTAAAAACTTAATGGTGATGTTAACATGTCACCATAAGTAATGTCATATCATCATTGAAAAAATATAAAAAAAGTCACATCATCAATTCTGTTAATTTTTTAACGATGAAATACTAAATTGAAATCTAAACTAAACGTTAGATATAATTTAAAAAATAAAGTTTGAATATCAAAATAAACTAAAAATAATAGTTAAGGTACTAAACATGTAATTTATCCTTTAAGTTAATTGCATTGAACCTACGATTTTAGATCAGACATCACAATTAATTTCTCAGACTTAAAATACAGTCTATTACTAATAAAAAAATTATTCTATTTTTAGGGTAAATTATGTATCTAGTACCTAAACTATCAGTTTTAATATATTTTAATACTTAAACTTTCAATTTTTTCAAAATTATACTTAATGTTTACTTCTTTGTTTCATTTTAATACCCGTACTTAAAAACTTAACGTATTTAGTATCTAAACTATCAGTTTTGATCCGTTTTAGTACCTAAAATTTTAATTTTTTTCAAAACTTAAGAATGATTTAGGTACTAAACGTGTTTTGGTACCTAAACTTTCATTTTTTTTTCAAAACTTAACGGCAGAGTACTAAAATGAAACAAAACTAAACTTTAGGTATTGTTTTGAAAAAACTAAAAGTTTAAGTACTAAAATAAATCAAAATTGATAGTTTAAGTACTAAATGCGTAGTTTACCTTTTTTTATTATTTTGGGTAAATATGAGGTAATTTACGTTCGAATGACTTTCAATCATTTAACAATAAATATCTACACACCCTGATCATCGTGCTCGAACATTCATAAAACTTTTAGGAAACAGGATCTTTATTTTCATTTCCAAAGCATCACAAAATGTAAACATTTGTATCTTACAACACGACATTGTTATAAAAGAACACATATGTTAACAACAACAACAGTTGATTTGGAGGTGAAGCTATTCCAATGGTTAACTGGTGACGGTATCCATGAATTCATCATCATTTGCAATAGCCTCCAACGTCTCTGCTAAAAGGCACACTTCAACATCAATACTTCCTGCTTCTGCTCTACCAAATAATGTCAGCATTCCGTCCACCTTGTTCGATGACCCGCTTCGTACTGCAACCGGCTTTCCCCATCCAAAATCATTACCATACATAACGAATCGAGGGGAAATAATCGTGATCAGAGCGTCGACATGGCTCATATATACAAAATTCGGTCTTGCTGGCCAAGATTCCAAGAACTTTTTCAAACTTTCTCCGGTCACCGCGGATATCGTTCTATTCATTCGCCACGCCGGGTTGCCAATTCCTTGTTCGATTAGCTCCTTTGGTTTCATAGTTAGAAATGTGCCCATAATTGCATTCCCGAAATAGTTGTCCGGAAGCTCCCGAAACCTTTGTCTAGCACCGACTACGATGCGAAATTTGGTCTCTTCATTAGGGTCTAAGCTTCTGTTTCGTATAGCAGATCGCCAAACATGAGACAACAAAGCTTGAAGAGACGAGATCTTGTCGGTGCTGATCTCGGCGTTCGCTTTCTCTTTGAGTTTCGCAATGGTTTCCTTTGAGAAATGGAAAATCCTTTCTCGGGTAGACAGTTGAACCAAATCCTCATTGCATAGTTCGACATCGCTGGAGAATCCGTACCGTAGACACTCATTTTTGTCCGGATTTAAAAAAATACTATTAATTTATTATTATTATTATATTTATATTACTTATTATTAAATTTATTATTATTACTTTTTTTTGTTTACAGGCCTTCAACCCAACATCCCAAATTATAATCGAAGCTCATTATAACACCAAGCCCAAATGAAATACAAACTCAACAACCCACCAATAGTGATCCAACCCAATTAGAACCCGGTACAACAACCCACCAGCAGTGACCCACCCAATATTCGACCTGGGTCTAAACCCGACCCAAACTGATCCACTCAGCAGTTACCCAAAAGCCCAAAGTTCGGTCAATTCGACCCGATCCAGCCCACATGTGGATCTGACCCGGCCCCTAGGGTTTCTAAAATCCTATCCCTAAGGGTATGATATCTGCTGACTGTTCCTGCCTGTACAAACAGTTACATCTATCAGCCCATCAGTCGAATAAATCAATAGTCAACCCCAAATAAAAAATAACAAAAAAATCAAATCCAAAATCCCGAGGGGATTTATCAATCCATCACATGCATCAACATAAAGAAGGGAAGAGAAGATAAAGGAGAGCATTCGGTGAAAGGAAAAAAAACTAGAGAGAAAGAAACAAGAGAAAGCCGAAGAAAAATAAATAAAAAACCCAAATCGAAAAAAAGAGATCCAAACATAAACAACAAAAATAAAAAAATAGAGAGAGAGAGGATTTTTACCTTGGTTCGAGACCGTGGAAGCCCGATGCTCATCGTGCTCTCTTTTTCTTTCAAAGGTAACCATTATATTTTTTTTAGATGTAGGACAAGGGGCTTCAAATCAGAGGTGTAAGGCTTGGTTTTAGGGTTGAGGGTGAAGAGGGGCTTATTTTGGGGGTAGTGGCTTCACTCTGACCATCGTGCACCGCCGTAGGCCACCATTGGAGCTGTCGATGTAAAGCGACCCTCTTTTCCCTGATGAGAAGAAGTTGAGAGAGTTTTAAAACTCTTTCACTTCTATTTTCTTTGAGACACGAAACAAATGAGGGAGATGGGTGAGGGAGCCTCGGTTTTAGGCTTAAGTACCACGCGTGAAACGACATCGTTTCAACAGGGGCTTCTCCGTAAATTTGGTTAGTGGGTAAATCCCACCTTAGGTCATTTTGATTATGTATTATGTTATTCTAGCCATTAATGAAACAATTATTTCTTTTATTTTGATCTCGTGTTTTATTAATGTTGCATTTTCATCCTTATTATCTTTTAAGTAATCTTATGTATATATTTAAGCTAGAGTCCTTGTATTTTAAAATTATTTTGTACTTAAGTAGGATATGTTTTCATTGATTCATTTTAGTCCCCTGTTTGCTGATATATGATCTTTGGTTAAATTGCTATTGGAATCATGGCATTTTAATTATTTTTATTTTAGTCATGCATAGAGTTGTGGATTTATTACAATATCAATACCTATACTTGTGTAAATGTTGAGTGTAGTTCTAATTTATTAATAATTGTTGTTCAGCCCTTTTAATTCATGTTAATCATATTTTAGTCCTTTAAATTTCAGTTTTTACTATTTTAGCTCTTTAAGTTTTTGTTCATACCATTTTAGTCCTTTAACTTTCTATTATTGCTATTTTAGTCTCTTTAAATATCTATTTTTACTATTTAATCCTTTAAGTTTTTGCTTTTTCTATTTTGGTCCATTAAGTTTCTATTTTTTCCATTTTGGTCCTTGTAATTAGAAATACTTACTTTTTAATCATTATATTTGGGTTGTAATATTTGTTTGTATTTATTTTAATCCGTATGTACATATTTGTATGTTATGAATTCATTTGCATCATATGTAAATAGATACGCTTATCTCTATTTATTGTAAATGTTTTTATTTCGCATGTTTCCATTCATCATTGTTTTAATATACGAAAAATGGAAAAATTTCAATGTGAGAGAAATCTATGAAGATATCTCCCAACTAAAGGAAATGTATCTTTTCGAGGATTTTTCGCATAAATGTGTATTTTATATTTGATAAATTCTCTTTGTTCCATGTTATTTATTTCACATTTTTTTACAGTTTTTCATCTTTATTTTATTTTATTTTATTTTATCTTTGCGAAAATTGGGAAATAATAATGTCTGTTGTCAGGGGAATCTGTGGGAAAGTCTCCTAACTACAAAGGAGGTGCTTTCCTGAAGATTTTTCACACGAAATGACATTAATTATCCGTAGATTAACAGTTTTGAATAAATTCGAATAAATAAAAGGATCGTAATTTAAATATATTTTAGAGTTTGTAATTCCCAATATTTAAACAACATATAATCATTTAGGTACCAAATTTGGGTGTTGTGGGGGTGCTAACCCTTTCCCACACGTAACCGACTCCCGAACTCTTAAAAACGAATCTTTGGTAAAACGTAGACCATTTTTTATCATTTAATGTTTCCAACCTGCCTAACTGAATGGTTGGTGGCGACTCCAAAATCAAATTGTTTTCTAAATCATATTTCATCGCCTTTTCGCCTTTTCTAAATCATATTTTTTTATCATTTAATGTTTGATTTTTTTATTTATTATTGTTTAGCATTGAATTATCATCATAAATAAAAGAAAGGTGTTGATTAACCAAGTAATCATTATAGTAGAAGAGCGACCATCGAAATGGAAAAGAGTTTTCATAACAAGGAAGAACACTATTCGGCGGTCCGAGGCAGTTTGCCTAGGGATTACGTATCAAAAACCGCATTCGTCTACAAATCTCTCTTGTAAAGAGGAACATTCTTTTGGATGAATGTAACTCTTTTTAAAGATGATTACTTTTAGAAATTAATACCTTTTGCATTTGCATTATGTATTGCATTTATTTAAACATTTTCACATTTTTTGCATCTTCATTTGTATTTTCACATTCTGCATGGCATTCATTGAGGTATTTTTACATGCATTAATCATGGAATCACGGGTTTATCTTGTGGAGGACTCTGAGGAAGTGCTTCTAACTATGCAACTTTGTTCACAGAGTACTGAGAATGGAAGCAAAATTTGAGCAACTGAAGAAAGAACCGGAAGAGAGTTTGCAAAAAATGCAAGTAAAGTGGGAAGCTAAAATGAAGTAGACGCAAAAAGCCACCATGGATCGTATCTTGCAACACCAAAAAGACTTAGTTGACCAAATAGTAGAAAAATTGAATGTGCTTAACCAAGAAAAAGGCAAAGGGAAGATTTTCTCAACATATAAAACCTCTGAAGGTGTGAGTGCACATGCAAATCCACTAATGCACATTTTGCCCCACAAGTTTCCAAGCCACCAAGTAGGCCTCTACGCCACTAAAACTCATGTAACCGTATTAGACACTCGGTGTAACCCTATTGATCACAACATGCCAAATTCTAATGCGATGAAAAGAGCCAACATTGAGATCCCGGAGAATTTAAAACATTGGTGCAGAGAGACATTTTAGAGAATGAGAGGACAAAGCTCTCAAAATGAAATGGATGCAATATAAATAGTACTAGTTCCCGACTTGGTGCTCCCACAACAAATTTAAGATGCCCAACTTTGAGAAGTACGATGCAACCAGTTGTCCTAGTGCCCATCTCAAAATGTTCATTCGAATGATGACTGGGAACACCAACAATGATCAGATGTTAATCCACTACTTCAAAGACAGTTTGACTGGACCCGCTTCTAGGTGGTATAACAAATTGAGTTGTGCCCAAATTCGCTCTTAGAAGGATTTGGCTAGTGCCTTTCTGAGCCAATATAAACACATGACTGATATGGCCCCCGATTGAACAACACCTCAAAATATTGAGATAAGGAATGATGAGAGCTTTCGACAGTATGCACAATGATGGAGGGATATCGAATCTCAAGTGCACCCACCAATGACTGAAAGAGAGTTCATCACTCTATTCATTGACACATTAAAATCTCCGTATATCAAATGCATGGTTAGAGCTGCCACAAAGAGTTTATCTAACATCGTCATGTGTGGAGAAATGATCGAAAGAGCTTACAATAATGGCCAGATAGGAGGCACTAGCAGTACTGACATTGAGAAAAGAGTTGAGGTCAACATCATGGGATCTTATTTAGCTAGTCTGAGGACCAAACCTCATTAAGCGTTTCGTGAAGAGACTCGTGTAGATCCAATCCCAATGATGTATGAGGAGTTACTCCCAACACTAGTTGAGATGAATCTTGTGACTACAGTTCAATCCAAACCAAAAGATGTCCTGTATCCTGAAGGCCATGATATTAACGCCATATGCAACTATCATATTGGGAGCTCGGGGCATATAACTGAGAATTGTAGGACATTGAAGCGCAAGGTCCAAGATCTGATTGATTCTGGGGCATTGAAATTCAATGTGTGATGGGGCATTCTGATCGGGAGTCGGCTGGGGCATTCATCATAAGATTTTATTGCATTCCCATGCATGACATATTGTTTGAATTTGTTTTTCTTCTTATGTTTAAATGTTTGTAAGTTACGTGAAGTTCAAATATTTTCAATAAAATGCTTCATTCTTAGGAAATGAACAATGAGCAAATTTTAATCTTGAATTCTTTAAATATCTCTTAATTAAAAGCTCTTTAATAATTGAGATTGTAAATATTTGATAAATGACAGGATTGAACCCCAGCAAAACAAGGACCCCTTGATCCTAAGCTAAAAATACATCTGAGTGCATACCTTTCTCTTTCAGGGACCAAGCTAACTCTATCATTGCATGTACAGTCAATCAAAGGCTTGTCATTCAGGTATGTGTTAGGAGCGTACAAAATGGGGCAACTAACATATAAGATTGCAAAATTAATTAGTTTTCACTTATGTTGATGACGTCCAATGATGATCATAATCTTCTTAGATGAATAATCAAGTAGATGAATCTAGTTTAGGTCAGTGCTTGGAAATTGAACTCTAACGATGAGATTTTCTGACCTTCAACAAACACCAGGATATAACAGATTTTTCTCACCGAGATTAAGAAATGAAATCCGTATACCCAAAAAAATATATATATATACAATACAACTGAGTTATTCCGCTAAAGCAATTGGTTATAAAGGAAACTCGAAAGCCCTGGATTTATGAATAGATTACAATCAAACCATGACATTGATTGGGTACTTGGCAATTCAGTGTTTGCTCCACTGTGGTTGTCATGTCGAAGAATTTGTGACAACATGAATCCTTCAGCTAGCCTGATAAAGGAAATTATAAAATATATGTACAATAAAGTTAAATTCAGCTAGACAAACAATGGCAAGTTAAATCAAATTTACTAAAAATGGAGTTTCGGTAAATATGAACTAAGGGAGTTGAGGAAACCTGTTATAGTCGATCTCACACAAGCACTCAAAAATTTCATTTTTAGACCGATATTTTTGCACCACCTTGACTAGGTGAGTTTACAAAGCTTGAACAAATGGAAGATTTCAGAGAACTGAAACAAAAGTGTTCTAAAGAGTCTAGTAGTTGACTATGCTAGTTGCGACATTTTGTCTGCCTCCGATCAAAATGCCAAACCAAGAAAGAGGGGCATGCCATGATCTTCAAGGTGACCGAATTAAGGAAACTAACCTTAGAATTTAGGTAGCCAGCCTAAAAAATAGCCTGTCAATCCTGACATTTGTCAAAGATTTGTAACTATCAAAAATTAAAAGAGTATTTGATTCTTTTGATATCCAATGAACTCTTGTTTTATGATTTGCTTTAATTGTGAAACTTATAAGGAGACAATATTTTTCAAAATTCCTTTTGATATTTTTCAAAATTTTGAAAATTTCAAAAAAAGAAAAACATTTTCAAACAAGATAATCTCTCTGGAGGCATATCTAGGAATTCAACGAATATCTCTCTGAAGCTTAAGATCGAAGCTGGGGCAAGAGAAGACCAATTTTTGGGGTAAAATTTGAAGGGGCAAGGAAAACAAATTGTATCAGGTTGAGGTTTGCAGGAGTATACCCTGGTGGAAATGAAGACAAACTAAATCAAGGATAGAATGAAGACTGCTCACAACCATTCCCCTTACAGATTGAGAACATACATACATACATACATACATCAACACATACATACATGA